TTCCTCGAAGACTCGTCGATGCGAATGGACTCATGGACGCATGCTTCCGACGAAGAAATGGTTTCGGGCATATCAGCCAGGAGACCATTGAGGCACGAAGAGCAGAACGCAGGAAAGGCTACGCGGAAGAAAGAGCAATTGCTAACGGGGAAGTACTACCCAAGAGAGGTGGAACCTTCTTTTCCAAGAAGAAAACCAAGAGTGCAGAGAATTAAGGGACAATATTTACTGTGACAGGCATATGTCCTAGGGAGTAATTGGGGAATGTATACCTAACATATGGTGTTTGGTGGGATTGTGAGTTTTCGAGGCGTCATTGGCTTTTTTTTTCATTTGTGTGTGTGGGAAAAAGAGAATTTGGAACCTGGGCCCCTTTTCTTTGCGTTTTATTACGATGATTATGAGGTAGCATTTATATGGGGGCATATACAAATATGGAGGGACTTTAGAAAGATTTTTTTGCGTTGGTACTACTGTATATTAAATTTGAACTTCTTGGTGGGATTGTAGGGAGTGTTGGGATTGGACTGGGCTGGGCGGAGAAAGGGGGAGGGAGGGGGAGGGAGGCAAGCAAGAAGGATGATTTTGAAGGTATGGGGAGACCAGATAACTGTAGTAGGTATGCAAATAAAGATAGTGTGTGTGTTGGCATTGAAGTTGTTTGAGGATATATGAATTTGATAGTGATTTTATGCTTCTTTAATCTACCCAGATGACCGACTCACAATGGAATGGCGCTCCATTAGCCCTTAGGGAGCCACTGCCGTGGAAGTGCAAGTTTAGGATGCTCATAAAAATACAAAACGTACCTAGGTCGTACTCGATTTGATACAGTTTCATCATTCACTCACTCGCATATATATGCATGGGTACAGAGCAGAGGCATTGTCAGGGGTAACAATGCCGGGAAGTTTCACATTGCTTATTTTCGGTTGCCCTGACAACATTTTACCCCAGATTTACCTTTACCTAGCACATCAAATAATCTTCCCGCGACTTTTTAAACCTCCTTCATTGATCAGCACAAGGAACAACACTTTTCCAAATTCTCCCAATCATGGAATCGCCGACTGCAATAAGCTCAACATCTTCATTATTTGAAGTTTATTTACGATTAAGACCTCCTCCAATATCAACTCAACAATTGTACCCCACGTTACCAATACCAGAGCGCTTTCTTACAGTTGAAGAACCCACTGAAGAAGAACTTGAAGATGGAACGGCATCTCCGACCCACATTACATTGAATCCACCAAATGACAATAGACGCAGGGCAGTGGAAAGATTCGCTTTTACTCGGGTCTTTGAAGAAGAAAGTTCACAATTGGATGTATTCCAAGGAACGGGTGTGCTGCCTTTGGTTGAAGGTGTATTGGGACCAAATGGTGGGGAGGGTAGAGATGGATTACTTGCTACATTGGGAGTCACTGGCTCTGGAAAGGTTGATATCTTGGTTTGATCATGTACAAATTGGGTATGTGCTAATGTAACTATCGCAGAGTCATACAATTCTTGGTTCTCGGAGTCAACGCGGACTCACACAACTTGCCCTCGATTTACTGTTCCGTTCTATTGACAGCAACATTCTCGATGTTAATTCACACCCTGGATTACATGGTTCAATTGCAGCATCAGATCCATCAGAGGCCCAAGTTATGTCTGCGCAGATGTTTTTAGATACATACTACTTCGACCCAGCTTCATCTCGAGGAAGCTCCAGAGCCCCAACACCCCAGGTGGTACGCGTGCCCATTCCCTACCACCCAAGTCCAACCAAATTATATCCATATTTGCCCCCATTCCAGGCAACAGGAAGTCCTAAGAGCATCAGGATCGTAGTCAACCAAGATGATAGTAAAACACCAGGATGTGCGCCAGTGCCAATTCCAGGAGAATCGACAGTATCGATGACTTCCTTTATTCCCTCATTTATGCAAGCTACTGCAACAGCAGCCAGGAAAATGATTAGTGCTAAAACTCCTCAAAAGGGCGATTCTTACCAACCTCCGAGACGAACGATACCTACAAGACCATCAGCTTTGCCAAGCAGTCCGGATATTACAGGAATTACGGTCGATGTTGATCATCATGCGGAGTATGCGATTCTGATCTCGATGTACGAAGTTTATAATGATAGGATATTCGATCTTCTGACGCCAGCGTCGCTAAACAAATCTACAAAAGAATCTAGAAGAAGGCCACTACTATTTAAACCTACGGAGCAATCACCCGAACGAAAAGTGGTTGCTGGACTAAGAAAGATTATCTGTGGTAGCATGAAAGATGCTCTCATGGTTTTGGAAGCTGGTCTCAATGAACGAAGAGTCGCGGGGACTAATTCTAACAGTACATCATCTAGGTCTCATGGCTTTTTCTGTGTCGAGGTAAAGAAGAGGAGAAGATCGAGAACGCCAGGCACTTGGGGAGGAAGTTCACTTACAGTTGTAGATCTGGCTGGAAGTGAAAGAGCTAGAGATGCCAAAACCGCTGGTGCTACATTAGCTGAGGCCGGAAAGATTAATGAGAGTTTGATGTATCTGGGGCAGTGTTTGCAGATGCAATCAGATTTGGAGAACAATACAAAGGTACGTTAAATTCACTTTTTATCTCTACCTAAGACTTCAAGATTTAACCAAAAGAAAACAGCCAAATCTTGTTCCATTTCGCCAATGTAAACTGACCGAACTTCTTTTCTCAAACTCATTCCCATCTCATGGCGCAAAATCTTCTTCAGCAACCTACCATCATCGAAATCCTCAAAAAGCAATCATGATCGTTACGGCTGATCCATTGGGAGACTTTAATGCAACTTCGCAAATCCTACGATACTCGGCTTTGGCGAAAGAGATCACGGTTCCAAGAATTCCATCAATCACGGCTACCATTCTCGGATCATCTCAATCGTCTGATAGACATCCAAGTTACACCAGCCCTACTTCTCCTACTTTCTCTCGATACCGCGATGGTTCACATCAGACACCTACCGATACCGAACGGGAAACTATGGAAATCGCGGCATTAGAAATTGCACGCATGTCTGAGGAAATCGATGGTTTACGCGACGAATTAGTACGCGAGTCACGATTGAGAATGGAAAGTGAAGCACATCTTCAAAGTATGGAAGACAGAATGTTGGAACTAGAGATGGAAATTCGAGAAGAATGCTACGAGGAAATGGAAAGGAGAATCCAAGAAGAAGGTAGAAAGTGGATGATAAGATTAGAGGAGCATGGAGAGAGGGAAGAGGAATGGAGGGATAGAAAGGTTGAAGTCGTGGTTCGAGGTTTAGGTGCAGGCATCGCTGGAATGGCTGGTATTGCTGGGGATGAAAATAAGGAAAATCAGGACGGTGACCCAACTCTTGGACTCGAAATGGAAAACGCAAAGTTGTTGAGGGAAGTTGAGAGATTGAAGAGAGAGCTGAATAGCAGGAGTCCGACGAAACCTCGAAAGCCTTCAAATAGAATCCTGAAGGAGAGTCGAACACATGCTATGGATAAATCAGCATCGCCAATTCCGGATGACGCCTCCAAGAATGAAGGACTGGAATTGCGGGACAGTATGGCGAGATTGAAGGTTGAGGATGACGAAATTGGAGTCGCTAGGAGTGCGAGTGCAAGATTAAGGATTAAGAAAAGAGATGTAGATCCAGGAAGTCCGACTAAGAGAGTTAGAAAACTAGCGCCGAGGAAGTGGGATTTTGCTGATGATGATGATTTTTAATTGCGGTTGGAGTAAATGGAATAGTACATCGGGGCCCGGCCTTATGTGGGATGGTTTGTACAATCAGTCAATCAATCAACGGAGTTTTCTCTTTGAGGGGGGTCAGTGAATCTGGATAGCATTTCCTGGGCTGGACTGAGTTGGGTTTGGGGCCGAATGGCAGTATTGGATTGGATGCATAAGACTTGGTGGGGACTGGAATGGATAGAATGGAATAATCCTCCTGGTCAAAAATTGTTTTCGATACCTGTCTAGGATTTGTTTTTGGTACTTACTCCTTATGTAATTTGATAGCTAATTCTTATTCGAATATGATTCCTTTTGAGATGGTCGTTGTGTTGAGAGGATTCATGGCGCGAGGTAAATTGGGTTGGTAATTTTATGCTCGTGACATTGTGGTCTACCGAATTCAACTATATGCCCTGAGGGTAAATCAAAAAGGAATTTGGGGCATAGCTAGAATAGCCTTGATGGTGCAAGTGGATGAATAGCAGTATGAGAAATCAATGGGAAGCTGAAATAAGGACATGTCGGATATTCGTGGAGGATCTTAGTAAAGAGCTGGAGGGGGGATGGGGAAGCTAGATCTCGATACACAAGTGATCCTCCTTCATGATGGGAACAGAAAATATGTACACTAAGTTGATGGGAAGAATGTAAAAGTCTTACACTCCAAAATTCTAGGAGCGAATTGGAAAAGATCTAGGGTTAACAAATATGCTGGACCAGGTTGGTGGTGGCCTTTGGAGGCAGTAGGGGGTGAGTTTTACATACTGCTACCACATCAGACATCCCCTTATGAACGCATTGCGGAATTAGACCCAACAATCTGAATGTCTTCTCTTCCACATTCTACATCGCACCAATTTTTTTGGAATTGCGGGACTTTGAATTGTCCGCGTTGTTTGCTTTGCGTTGTCCAAAAACATGTCAGATCTTTAATTGATTTCAAATCAAACGCTTATGCTCGTTTATTTTGGATAGGAAGCTTTCCATAAATTTGGCCTAATTTCCTCTTCAAATCTATCTGCATCCATACATTAGTACTTCAATTACGAACACTTTTGAAAGAAATCTCTGGAGCATTTATTAAGTTCAGTTTTAACATTGACATATTCCCGGTTACTCGTTTTTGGACCAATTCACTTCGATACTTTCAGTCTGAGGATAAAATAGCGAATTTAGTAAGTTCAGTTATACTTTCGCCCAGACCACTAGGTAGTTCTAACGGAACAAGAACAAGTACAAGTACGATTTCTCTATCCAGCGCACCAAAGATGTCTTCTCCACTCAAAAATATCATCATAATTGGTGCAGCCGGTAACTTGGGGACCTCGATCCTCGCTACTTTCGACGCCGACCCCAACTTCAATGTTTCTATCCTCTCTCGCAAGTCATCTAAATCCGTCTTCCCAGCCCATCTCTTTGTTCACCGGGTCAGTGACGAGTATCCAGAAGATGAACTTCTGGTAGCTTTGAAAGGACAAGATGTAGTCATTTCAACTATAGCAACAGCTGCTGTTGAAGTGCAGCAAAAGGCAATTATAGATGCAGCTAGCAAAGCCGGTGTGAAATGCTTTATACCATCTGAGTTTGGAAGTGATACGAGAAATGATGAAGCTATGAAAATCATCCCGTAGTACTTTAAGCATAAGCTGGACACTGTGGAATATATGAAGGGGAAAGAAAAGGAGGGGTTGACTTGGTCTGCGTTTGTCACTGGCCCATTCTTTGAACTGTATGTGGGAGATCAATCGCGTTACTTTCTATTTGTAAATTGGGACTGATCAATTTGGACAATAGGGCTGTGAAACTTTTCATGGGCTTCGACTTAAAAGAACAAAAAGCTGTCATATACAACGAAGGTAAAGATGCCTATTCAACCACGACAATGGCCTCCATTGGCACCGCTCTCAAAAACGCACTGTTTCATCCAGAAGAAACAGCCAACAAATATCTTTTCATCTCCAGTTTTCATGTTTCGCAAAACCAAATTCTCGCTTCTCTTGAAAAGGCGACGGATAAAAAGTGGGATGTTTCATATGTTGATGCAGAAGAGCAGAAGAAGATTGGAATGGAGAAGATAGAAAAGGGAGATCTCAGTGGTGCGATGGGGTTAATTAGATACATTAATTCTGTAAAAGGATATGGTGGTGATTATACGGAGTATGAGGAGATGTCGAATGAGTTGCTGGGGGTACAGAAAGAGGATTTGGATAAGGTTGTGAGGGGAATTGTGGAGGGCTGAACTTGAGTGGAATCGAATAATGCGGTTTGGATTGTAGATGATAGCCTTCAAGAGATCGAGCTCAAGACAAGAAGTCATGAATGCGTATTTCAACCTTATTTCTAGTTGTAGTTATCTTCAGTCAATACTGAATCAACGACGTGCACTTGCAGAACTAAAAAGTCAAGACACCATTGATAGCCATGCTTCAATTTATAGCTAAACATAATTAAGCAAATGCAACAAGTTCTTTTGGTCTGGGGGAGATTCGCCTCAGTTAACTTAGGGATTCGTCGCGTCGTGCCAGGAGATATGGTGATATGGCTACTTGAGCTGGACTATAAACCATGATAAAAGAATCATCAAAACAGCGCATTGTGATTCTGATGATCTTGTAGTCGTCAGGGGGATCTCCAATCATAAGTGTGACTCCCTCGAGGATGCATATTTGCTCCATGACTACTTCAGTGGGAAATAAGTCAGTGAATTCGGAATTGGGAAATGAGTTTGTTGACCCTTTCTTTGAGGACCATAATGGCTGCTACATACCCATCCATTGGGGCAGGTTTGGCACAACCAGATATCTTGAATGCGGTAAAAGGAAATTATACGTTAACACAAAGTGGAAAAGTCAAACGCCACTTCTACCTGCAACTAGGCAAGCTCCATCGGAGCATGCGAACATAATCCTCACAAAAATTATATTTTTAACCACTATTAAGAGTGTGTGAGAAGCTGTGAGACAATGAAACACTTGAAGGTGTATTCTCGTCCGATTGAATAAAATTTTCTTCAATAATATAGGAGCAATTGGTAAATCATTGGACTGAGGCCATGAAAGGGTAGCCGAAATCCTTTTCCACCCCCTCTATGAAGCATAATAGGCTCATTTTGCCACTATCCCTTTATTATTAATGCTACGCCTACAGAGCTGCGTTTGTAACAAAACTTGGTACGAGTGATAGGTAACCAATAGGTGGTGGGATTGATAAGCCAAGCAGAGAGGCTACCTGCAGACACCAACATGTAATGATAAGGCGTAAAGTTCTAGACCAGCTAGTAGAGAGTGACGGACGATCCCTTATATGCTATTATGACTGATCATCATGTATTTTGTGGTAGGTTCTTTGTTACACTAACAACTGACTAGATCACTCCTTCAACTGATGACACGAATCTACACAATCACATTTTGAACTGACTTCTTCAACGAATGTTTGTGGCCATGCGTTTATTTTTGTCAATCCATATATCCAAGGACAATGAAGAATGTCCAAACTGATGCTCCGACTAAACGAAAGTTTCAATATCATTCCGAAATACCACCAAAACTGCAATTTATGGTGGCTGTACCACAATTATATCGACACGCGACCAAGAGACATCAAACATGGGCCCTCTTGCGAAAGTCTATTATATCTGCAGTGACCAGAATCATTGATATTGACAGATTCATGCAGATCAAGCAACGGCAAAATGCAACACAACTCGGGAAACTTTCCTAAAAACTCGTAGCCACAGGTGACTAATAACAGGGCATACCCCATTGCGGAGTCAAGGAGCGACGATCTGAGCCTTGGAATCTATTTCTGGAATTCATTCATGACACCGGCGAGACCGGTACTCATTGTTGGTTAACAAACGAAGATCATGTTTCCATGTGACCTATGGGCAGTAAGTAGGTATCCTTGAGAGCGGACGCAGTCAATACTTGCCTTGCCTTCTAGTTCTATCGTCGTACTCGGTTACGATTAGCTTTAGATAGTGCCCCCCCCCCCGCTACCCCACGGGAATAACATATTAATGAGGGGCTAAGTATTACCCCGCACCACTGCGGATGTAAATCCGCAGTGATCTCGTTACTTCTTCAAGTCTTATAGCTGATCAATGCTGCGATTTTGTAGTGGTTTTGTTTCAGATTAGTTCTTCATGTTGGCAATATACTAATCATCTTCAATCTTTTACTCGTTAGCATGCGCGGAAAGTTGTGATGTGAATCCCCATTTGTCCGATCATACCTTACTTTACTCCTCAAATGGCTGGGATTTCAAAAGCTGAGCCCATCTGTCCGAGGATGCTTTGCTCCTCAAATGGCTTGAAAATTTGAGCTGTGGTTACTAGTGCATGTAATTAGAACATTCGGCGTGCCACCAAAGACGGGATACAACACTGCCCTGTACCCTCTATTCCAAATCAGAACCTTTTGTATTACATATTCAGCTTCTATTTCTTGAGTTTGACAAGTAACAGCTAGCCACGTCAAGATACCCGTTCAGATTTTCATACATAAATACCGAGGTCGCCTTCAATCTTGATTCTCCTGAAAGTTTTCTTTTCAAGATCAAGCGCGCAAACAGTTAATCATGGGCTCATTACAGATTGAAGAAGTAGATGTGCTACTAGTAGGAGCTGGATTCGGCTCTTTTACTATGCTGAATAAGTAAGTCCGTCTCTGAAATCGAATGTGTTGTCGCTCACAAGTCAATTAGGCTTCGGAAGCAAGGACTCAATTGCAAGATTTATGAGAAAGGTTCGAAGAGTGGAGGTATCTGGTACTGGAATTGTTATGTATGTTTTTTTGGGCGTATTGCATGGCTCCAAAGCTAATATACAATAGCCCGGCGCTCGAGTCGATTCTGATGCCCCAATTTATCAATTATTCGACAAAGAGTTATGGGAGGACTTTACATTCAAAGAGAAATTTCCCGGTGGTAGCGAGATTCGTCGATACTTTGAACACGTTGAAAAGAAATGGGATGTTCGGAAAGACCTTGAGTTCGACAAGCATGTCGACGGAGCTACCTTCGACAAGCAACGCAATCAATGGCTTGTGGAATGCTCAGATGGTTCCGAAATTTATTGCCGATGGTTCATACCTTGTATAGGATTTGCATCTCGTCGTTTCACCCCCCCTTTTAACGGACTTAGTAATTTCAAAGGGGACATATATCATACAGCAACATGGCCTCAACATGGTGTTAATTTAAAGAACAAACGAGTTGGCCAAATCGGAACTGGAGCAACTGGTATACAGGTGGTTCAAACCATTGGACCCGTTGTTAATCATCTTACCGTCTATCAACGAACACCCAATTACGCCTTACCCATGAATCAAGGACTTCTTGACCCAGAAGAAGAAGCCAGAAAGAAGGCCGAGGGCAAGTATGAAGAAGAATTTGAGAAAACACGACATACATTTGCTGGCTTCCCATATACGTTTCTAGAAAAAAATACTTTCGATGACACGCCAGAAGAACGGGAAGCCACCTTCCATGACCTACTGATCAAGAAAGGCGGTTTCCGTTTCTGGCTCAACAACTACAAAGACATACTTTTCGAGCAAGACGCGAACGACGAGGCCTACAATTTTTGGCGCAAATCAGTGCTCAAACGAATTCCCGACCCCAAAAAACAGAAGCTCTTGGCACCGGAGATTCCACCTCATCCATGGGGAACCAAACGCCCTTCTCTAGAACAAAACATTTATGAAGTTTTCTCTCTGCCACACATTGATATTATCGATATAAACGAGTCGCCCATCTTAGAAGTCAGCGAAAAGGGTATCAAAACCAAAGAAGGAGAAGTAGAATTCGACGTTTTAATTCTCGCCACGGGTTTCGACTCCTGTACTGGATCGCTGGCCCAACTCAATATCCAAGGCATAGATGGTAGTACCATTGCCCAGAAATGGAAAGATGGAACACGCACATCTATGGGTATTGCAATGAACAACTTTCCCAACATGTTCTTCCTCTACGGGCCTCAAGCACCTACTGCATTCTCGAACGGACCGAGCTGTACCCAATTCCAAGCGGAATACCTTGCAGACACGATAAAGGGATTAAGCGAGAGAAATTTAACTTACTTCGAGGCAAAGAGTGAAGCGGAGGAGGATTGGCATAGGAGGATGACTGAAGCTTGGAACAAATCTTTGTTTCCGCTGGCAAAAAGTTGGTATCAGGGGGCAAATATTCCTGGAAGGAAGGTTGAACCTCTCAACTGGTAAGTTTTTCTCCCATATTTTCCTACTTCCCTTTGTGGATGTTAACATTATCATAGGGCCGGTGGTATGCCAGAGTACACAGCAACATTGGCGAGAAGTAATGAGAATGACTATCAGGGTTGGATCGTAGCATAGGACCTAGTGTTTCCTGTTAAGCAATCGGACGTGTGAGCGCTCATCTGAGAGATGTAATCAATTGACGGTAGGGCGTATAATCAATTTTGTGTGTTATATAGGAACTAATTATTTGGTTCCCTTTTTGAAAACTTGTTACTTTCCCCTTCATGGGACACAAATTCTCTTCCACAACATGCGTGTGTTTGTGTATGAGGACCTCATCCCCGAGTTTGTTTTCCTTTCTCTCGCCTAATAGTTATCCGTTTCAACAAAATTTATTCGCTCTGCATACACTCCCTTAGACCATTAGCGTGTATAGCAGAATCATGGCATACGTACTTGTGGTTTGAGACGACACATCTACCCTTCAGTCAAGAAATCTAGATGACGAAGTCAGTATAATTGATCAGCATGAATGATATGTATGGATATCTCATTTCAAAATGCGACTTTAGTTGTTGATTTCTAAAAAAAAAAGAAAAGAAAAGACGGGCTTACGCTGCATCTACGTTCATATTGCTACATAACAGTGTTGCTCTATGGAGCCACCTCTAACAAATCCAGATCTTCTTTCATTATGTATGGTGGTTCTATGAGGATAACAATCTCATTCTGCCGTGCTTGACTTTAAGCGCTTTAGAAGCACTGAGCAGTGAACATCCCTAGATATACTTGATATCAAGAGTCGGCATTCAGTTGAGCAACTTTACGCTTGATGAGAGATAGCCTCTGCACTCATTGAGCAGGCGCCAGAATACTCTCACATAGGCTACGGCATGGTCAGGAATTGAAACCTTGATGCACGTTGTTCACAATTTTCAGTTCGCACGCTTTAAAGAAACGAAGTGTTCGGAGTATGTCGCTTTTCGATCGTATCAATGTTAATCTTAAAGACGAATAGTAAGGAGCTCCGATGCTACTAGACCGTCCTTCGTTTGATCATGGAATATAGCTAAAATCGAGTTGTTGATGTTTGAATCAAATAAACACGTGATGAGACCCGCGTGCATGTGACTACACTGCCAGGCTTTATCGGGACAGCGAAGACGGGAAATTCAGCCTATGATAGGCATCACAAAAATGTTACACATAACAACGAATGGACTCATCACGATATGAACTTGAGGCTGAGCGGCATTGAGTAGAACGAATCAAATGCAAAAGAGATTTTGATCCCTACCATTTGAACCTCAATTGGACTGACCGAGTATCACGTGGGATACACATTGGTTGCCTGCCAAGAAAATGTTTGGCTGCCGTGTGTCAATGGATAAATATATATATTGAGGCCTCTTCGCGCCCTCGCGACCGTTTTTTCCTTTCCTTGCCACACCATTCGGGTCGACTACCAACATTCAAGAATCTCATTACTGTCACTTAGTACAATTTTGAGATTTCTTCCGAGACCCTGTCAATCTTTCGTTTTGTGTGTCAATTCAATCACCTTTCTCTCCCTACCCTCACATCCGAATACTAATTTCGACACTCATTCAATTACCCTTCCAAGTCCATATATCGATCAATTGACAATATACCCGAAGCAGCCATGTTCAAGCGTTCCCATAGATCGAATGATCGTGTGGAAAAGAACATCAAATTGAAGAAATCATATAGGGATCCCGCAAAATTGTCGAAATTGCAGAAGTCGTTCGATCAAAGCTCGCAAGGCTCACCCAATGCGAGGTAAGACACGCTGATCATGTTGTTGAATATGAACTGTGGCTTGAGTTGAATCAAAACTGATGGGACATCACTATAGTAGCTTGACCTCACCAATTGTAACATTTACAGTTGGTAAGGAAGGACGACTGTTTGCGGCGCATGAAGATGTACTGTCATTGTCTCCATACTTTGCGACGGCAATGAGAGGACAATTCTTCGAGGCGCAGAGTAAGAGGATCACCTTACCCGATGAAGAACCTGAAATCTTCTCCTGTGTTCTCGAATACCTTTACGTACGTTTACCGATGACATGAAGTACACAGTCATCTCGGTGATACTGAAAAATTTACAGAAGGGTGACTACTATCCACGTTTGATTCACAACAAACGCCGAAACTCTTGGGAGCTTGAGGATGCAGATCATTCACCCAACCCCGAAAATATAGGTGGCCGCGGGTCGGTAGAGGCTACAAGTTATATATCCAGCGTGGGAGAACACCTTTTAAAGGATACTGTCATATACTGCGCTGCGGAGAAGTATGGTCTCGAGGAACTCAAACGCGTTGCTCTTCGCAAGCAAGGTTTACAGAGTGGAATCGAGGTTGCTACAATTCTTCGCAGTGCTCGGTATGCTTATGACAACACGCCAGACACGGACTCTAGACTACGCGCTCATTATCTTGCCTTGATTATCAGATGTCGTAAGACATTTAAGAGGAGCGGAACCATGCAGACAGAAATGGAGAGTGGCGGTAAACTTTTTTTTGACCTTTTCGTGGCATTATGCAACCATGTGGATGACATTGTGGATATTGGGTCAGCCATTTCCTCCCTTTCCCATGAACTACTGACCTACTCTCTCACAGGTTTACTGACTTCTAAGACAGAAATTCCAAATCTCCAAAAACCATCTGAAGTGTTGCATGCTCCATGTTAGGTATTTCGGCACGGCGTCAATTGTTTTTGAGATTGATCATATATCTCCATCAAATTTGGTACCAATTTTTGGAGATTTTTGCGATGCTTGCACCAAATTCCTCGGCCTCGACATACGAGGTTGGCCATCTTTTTGATGATACACGAGATTAATTTTCTATCCTTTTCTCAATCATACCCCTTGCTATCTCGCTTCGATGTTGTTCTTTTTAGCGGAAGGAACTCGCGTTTGCTTTTTCTTGCTTTCTGTACTGTTTTGCTATCAACCCTCACAAATTGCTTGACTTACTCTGTGGGTATGTTACTCGTTGCGTTTGGAATTGAAAAGGAAATGGTACAGATGGATCTACTGGTCGGGCGACTTCTTCGCACCACTTTTCTTATTTCTGTTGGGATGCATGGAGATGCTGTAGCTTTAGTTGTGTGCATGATCTTGATGATTGTGTATGGGCGGTCCCTAGTGGATGCGCCAGCCTAGGCCCTCGTCAGGGCAATATAATGAGAGACTTGGCCACCTCAATCATAAACTCCAAATGCGTGAAGTGATTGCTTCAAGTTCTATTGGTCCTGCCTTTGCCCTGCTTTTTCCGTACAAAGCTTGCAATCATTTGTTCCCTCTCGGTGGTAAGTATGATGTATTCACAGTATCTTATTGAGAGTGTATACCTGGAACTTACCTGTCAGTACAAAGTACTGCAAATAGTAATAAAAGAGTTTCAGGTCTCAATCCACAACCGTCAGCAATTTGACTAAGTTCGAATTACATATATATATCTAAGCTCCAGCGAACTGACCATGCATTATACTCATTTTGATTATATAATCCGAAGTCATATAATCGAAAGCCATAAAAGTCGAGGACAATGTCAGCGAGGAAGGAGGAGGAAATACGCGTAGCGTGCTCTCTCGCCCAAGCCGGCCCCTCCGAGTTTCAGGCTCTGTGTGGCCACGTGCAAGTTCACTTGCATCACCAATCTGCCAATCGGAAGGTCGCCATCAAGGTGGTAGATTGTGGCCCGAACACTAACCTTATCTAGGCATCCTGGAATGTCGGGCCGTCAAGCGATGAGAGGCTGAGCTGTCAACAGCGTGACGTCACTGTCAATTATGTCATATATATATACATCTAGCATTTCATTGATGATAGTTCTGTTTCGTGCAATAGCTAATATATTGATTGTTAGAACTCGGCCTAACACATACGACCATAGACTGAAGAGAATTGGGCATCCCGTCCGCTCTGCCATACACAAGCTTCAGATCGGTGGATTAGTAGTTGGGTGGGTGACCACCAGCGAATCCCCACTGTTGTATGTTATTTTTTACCATCTATTATTTTTGCTCCTCTCTAGAAGGGTAGCTACATCATGTCCCAAACGCAGACCATTCACCAAAGTCTCTCTACCGAGGTCCCCCTTTCCGTACTTAGGCCAGAGGGAGTTTCATCATCACAAAATATACCATCTCGCCCCCTCTCTGACCCATCGTCATCTCCTCTTGGATCAACATCGAATTTTGCCCTGATCTTGAAAATTACATCATCAATCCTTGCCTTTTTCACCGCTGGTCTCAATGATGGTAGTCTCGGTTCTCTCATCCCTTACATATTAGACACATATTCGCTTTCCACATCATCCATCGCCTTTCTATATCTCTCCTGCTTTCTCGGCTGGGTAATTGCGGCAATTACTATTCCCTTTCTCCAAACCAATCTACGTCTGGGTATTGGTGGGATACTACTTCTAGGTGCGAGTTTGCAACTTTTGACTCAATTTATAAGAATCTGGGGGTCCCCATGGCCATTGTTCGTAGTGAGCTTTGGTCTGGCGGCTCTAGGTCAGGCATACCAAGATGCTCAAGCAAATACTTATATAGCCCAGGTTGGTGACAAGGCACATCGGTGGTTGGGTGTGGTACACGCGGCGTATAGTGTGGGGTGTTTGCTTGGTCCATTGGCTGTAACTGGCATTGCAACTGCTAAGCCGGTGCACTGGATGGAGAGTTATGGGGCTTTGGCTGGAGTTGCAGGCTTGAATGTTTGTGTGGTAGCTTGGGCCTTTGCAAGAGATATAGTGACCAAAACGCGGCATGATCAAGATAGCGAAGAACAAGGTGAAGGAAGTGATCAAAGTAATCATGCAAGAAGAGGAAATGCAATGTGGAGAGATATCGGGGAAGTCCTGAGAGAAAAGAGTGTCTGGATTATCAGTTTTTTCTTTTTCTTTCATTTGGGTAGCGTCATAACCATCGGCGGTTGGCTAGTGACTTACCTCCTCACTCTCGCGCCCAATTCAGGAATCCAAGCTTCATCGATTGGCTACCTTCCCACCCTCTTCTACGCAGGAAACGCACTCGGTCGTCTCTTCCTCATCGAACCTACTCATCGATTCGGTGAAAAGCCAATGATCCTCCTCTATTCCTTGCTATGCATTATTCTCCAGATCATTAGCTGGAGACTCTCCAGTCTAATTGGCAGTGTCGTCATCGTATGTTTACTCGGATTCCTTCTGGGACCATTTTTCCCAGCAGCAATTACGCACACCAAACTACTTCTTCCGTCGAGAATCATTACACCTGCCTTGAGTATAATTTTTGTGATTGCGCAAGCCGGTGGAAATATATTTCCAGCTATGACTGGTATTTTGGCGGCGAATTTGGATGGTGGGGATGGGGCAGGAGCTAGAGTTTTGCAACCAGTCGTTTTAGGGCTGTTGGGGGGTATGATGGGGGCTTGGTGGTTTGTTCCGGGGGTTGTAAGGAGGAGTGAGTAGTCTGGTAGGGTGGTAGCGTTGTTTGGAATACTGTACTGTGAAAGATATTGAACGTATAACAATGTAAAATTGCGAATAGCCTATGGCACTTTTCAACCTCAAATGTCCCGAATTAGAGTCAGCAATAATTTTACCTGTCGCAAGTCTTAATTGCTATAACCTAGGATTGAGGCTTATCCCGACCCCTGCACTCGGCGAAGTCAGCTTTTTTATATTTCCTTCAACACTCTCAACCTTGACAGCTTCGACGTGAAATGAAAGTCAATTCTTCGCGCATAGAATTTTTACACTCTGAGTTTTAGCTGCAAAACTTGCTTGAATCGAGTAGCATGGGTCCAAAAATGCCGAATAGTGTTGCAGAGATTGATAACCCAAATTATGATTTCCTCTATGCACACAACAACCAGATTAATTATTTGGAGATTCTACAATATCCTTCTCAGCCTATTCGAAGATTTCAGGGTGAATTGAAAGATGATAGATCTTTAGAAGACTGGCTCGCAAAGGTTGGCTAACTCGTCAATTCAAAATGTTTGAGAGCGACGAACAAGGTTATGTACTGACTCGCACTAGGATCTAGCCGTCGATGGTAATCAACCTGAAAGTGGTATTCGTATTCTGTATGTATAGTTCTCATCTGAATGTTTTATTGTCCGGGTCTTTCGGGACTTGTTTGATTGTCCGGAATCCAGGGTAACATTAAAGGGCATTTGAAGTTTCATGCCAGATGGAGTACGAGACTATTGACCGCACAGTCTAGCTTGAATCTGGTGGCTAATTCATATAGTGCTGGAAAAGGTTGGAGTAACGCAGATGCTGTATTACCCGACGATTGGAAAGTAACTTTACCTTTCACCAAAACTTCCTATTCTAAGATATTATCTGCTTCGTCTTTCAATATTCCAAGCAACTTTCTTCAAATCCACCGTAGTGGGATCACTCGATCTTTCAAAACTACTTCTACAAGCTCTCAAAACGAATTACTAACAACCCTCACGTTTAAACTCGGATCTGCTATCAATAACTGGGACCTCCTTACTTTGAGTAAAAGCTCTAGTACTCGCATAACCACTGGCCTCTTTATCGCACACGAGGACATAGATATCGTTCCTTTACCATTCAACGTCGATTCCTATCTGGGAGTTAGTCAGCCATGGTGTATCGCTAGGCTATTCATACGTCATAAATTAAAGCAATTAGATGACAGAATCAACAATACGGAAGTTGATATCAACGCAATTGAAAGTGTTACCGGTCAGCACAATAGATGGGTTGATACCGACAAAATACAAAATTCTAACAATCAAGATGATGAAAACGATGTTTCCTCAATAGATCCGTTACACATAGACTTCATAGGTACGACTACTGACTTGAGTAAAGCAGAGTATAGTATGGCTGGACTTTCAGTTTGTATCAAAGGAGCATTGTTTGCAACAAAGGTGTTAGATGGACTGGACCAGGAAGGGAAGCAGACAATTGGAGAATTGAGGGATCATTGCGAGCATATGCTTTTAAAGATGGAGTATCTACAGATGAGAAGGGATGCTTTACTTTCTGTCGTAAGTTCCTTAAATGATCTACCATTGTCTAATCCAGCTATTTACCTTTGGTTTAAAGATTCAACAATTCCAAGCAGAAGCCTCTGCTCGCCGTGCCATATTCTTGACGGAAGCTTCAACCGACCTGGCAAAAGCGAGTAGGAAGGATAGCGAGGTCATGAAAATCATTGCTATAGACACAAAACGAGACTCAAAAGCCATGAAAACGATCGCTATTCTAGGAATGGTTTTCTTACCGGGAACTTTCATCGCAGTGCGTCACTCGTGCTCCTCATTTCACTATTGCTAACTTTTAAAAAAGTCAGTCTTTGCAATGCCAGTGTTCACTTGGACACCTGACGGCTCCATGATAATACAAAAAGGCTTTGGGTATTACTGGGCTGTCACAGTTCCGTTAACATTGATAATATTGGTGGCCTGGGCTGTAAGCATGGTAATCCCACATCGCCATAAAGGGGTGTTGAGCGATGAGATTGAAGTGGAGAGTCTTCGCCCCGTACCAATCAACAAAAGACCGACATATAATATACTTAGACCTTCAAATTCAATGAGTCGGAGTCGGACATTTTCAATTGACGGCGCAAGATCACAAATTTCCTTACGCCCTAGTCAAAGATCCTCGAATCACAGAGCCAGAAGTTCTACCCGGATTTTGAAGAATTCTGCGAGCAATTGACGAATTTCGAACGATAACTGAAACAAATCGTAGGAATCGGTGAGAGCATGTGGCGTAAGTCAATTGACTTCGGATGATAGCTATAGGAGTATATACTCAATCAGCAATAATGAATTGGAGGGCAGAAGGCCACTTGGTGGATTCTAACTTCTCAGTGAATATTCTTAGCCCAAATGGGGTTTCTCAGTCTTCCAAATCAGATTCGACAATCAAATATGCCTTCAGATTTGAAACCTAGAGAATATAGTTTGGTGTGTGATTTGTATCGTACAAAGCGTGCTATTTATTTTTTCACTCCTCTCCGCTCTCGCGAATTTACCCCTTCATCTGAACCGAGAGGGCTCCGCGCACCGTGGGACAGCCATCATTGAACATGACCATGAGCGGCCGAAATTCTCGAATGATAGTCTACACCTCCTGATTGCACTTGCAAAGGTACTGAGAGTTATGGTCTGATACATCTTTCCAATAAACCAATACGGCATCTCCAGTGTAACTCCAAAGAATTCATTCCGGTGGAGACACTAATCTTGCTATTCACTTAACATTGTGGGCCAAGACGGCTTTGATAATCCTTCATATCCTTGATACCTTCGATTTTCAATACATTCAGTTTGATTCAGCCGACAATAACATGAAAGATCAACTTTTGTAACACAATACACCTCCTTACTCCGATCATGGAAAGAGAATCTTCGCTACTATTTCATCAATTGATTCTGTTCCTGACTTATCCGTCGAGATCAATGCGGGGCTTATCCACCCCTCTATAAATTTAGATGATTTTTAGCGTCTAATTGTGCTAAAGCCGTAAGAAACCGAACTGATAGCTAGAGCTTCAAACATATAATTGTCCGTTGTTCGGCGCATCGATGTTCTTATCATACAAGAAATAAACGTGATAACACCGATTGTTCTTCTCTTCGAGGTAGGCATATCCTCTCATTATACTTTGTCTTCTTTCTTTGTTTCTTTGGTTCGCAAAGTCTTCATTCATCAATCATGCTCGCAAGAAATATCAAAGGCTCTAGAAGCTTTCAGACAATTAATCGTTGTTCATTGATTGCTTCTTACAAATGTGAAGCTTCAATACGTCTACCCCGCACCAGCACTTTGGGTAGTAGCATCACATCAAGTACAGGAAATAGATGCAATATGGCCACAATTGCAAGCTTTAAAATTCCAAAGGTGGTTAATGAGCCAAATGTAAGTTCTGTCCAGAAAATAGAAGTTATAACTTTATTTCAGAAGAGCAACGGGAATGCTAATGGACGATGTAGCATCATTATGCTAAGGGATCCGCACAACGCGATGGACTTTATAAGGCATTGGAGAGACTGGAAAATAAGGCTCCTTTGGAAGTCCCTTTGGTAGTCGGAGGTAAAGAGGTCAGTCTTGGTTGTTTCTCACGGTCTAGTAATTGAAGCTAACAATAATTACAGATTAAAACCTCCTCCGTCTCCCACCAGCTCAACCCAGCCGATCATTCCTCAAAAGTTGCGACCTATTCAAATGCCTCCCCATCCGATGTTTCCTCCGCAATCGATGCTGCCCTCGCCGCAAAACCGGAGTGGGAATCTCTTCCTTTTGCAGACCGAGCCGCTATATTCCTAAAGGCCGCAGATCTCATCTCTGGAAAATATAGATATGAAATTATGGCTGCTACAATGCTGGGACAGGGAAAGAATGCTTGGCAAGCTGAGATCGATTCTGCTGCAGAGTTGGCAGATTTCCTCCGATTCAACGTTCAATATGCCGAAGAATTGTATGCGCAACAACCCGAACATCATTCGCCTGGTGTCTGGAATAGACTCGAGTACAGACCTTTGGAGGGATTCGTCTACGCTGTTACTCCATTCAATTTCACAGCAATTGCGGGTAACTTGCCAGGTGCACCAGCTTTGATGGGAAATGTTGTGGTTTGGAAACCATCTGATTCCGCCATTGCTTCAAATTGGTTATTGTACAACATTTTGCTCGAGGCTGGCCTCCCTAAGAATGTTATTCAATTCGTGCCAGGAAACCCTGTCGAAGTTACCAAGGTTGTTTTGGAACATAAGCAATTGGCTGCTCTTCACTACACCGGAAGTACCAGTGTATTCAGAAAGCTCTATGGATCAATCGCAAACGGGGTTGCCGAGGGTAGGTATCAAGGATATCCAAGAATTGTAGGGGAGACTGGAGGAAAGAACTTCCATCTTATCCACTCTTCAGCTGATATAGAGAATGCTGCTCTCAATACTGTTCGTGGCGCTTTCGAGTACCAAGGACAGAAGTGTAGTGCTACATCAAGAGCATATGTTCCCAAATCCATCTGGCCTCAATTCAAGGAAAAGCTGGTTGAAGAAACATCTAAACTTTCAATCGGATCTCCAAAGGATCCAAAGAACTTTATCGGTCCAGTTATTCACGAACCATCATTCAAGAAACTCTCAGGAGTCATCGACAACGCCAAATCCGACTCCGAGCTCGAACTTCTTGTAGGAGGCAAGCACGATAATTCAACCGGTTATTATATCCATCCAACTATCTACCAAACCACCAACCCAAGACACCCTCTTCTCTCTACTGAGCTTTTCGGTCCAGTTCTTACAGTATACGTCTACGATGATTCTTCGGCTCCAGTTGAAGCTTTCGAGTCGGTTTGCAAGCTCGTTGATACCACATCTGAATATGGACTCACTGGCGCAGTTTTTGCGACCGATAGAGCCGCGATTAGATATGCGGAAGAAGCATTGAGAAATTCGGCAGGTAATTTCTATGTCAACTGCAAGAGTACTGGCGCTGTGGTCGGACAACAACCTTTTGGAGGTGCAAGAGCTAGTGGAACAAACGATAAGGCAGGAAGTATGAATCTATTGGGTAGATTCGTCAGCGTGAGAGCATTGAAGGAAGAGTTCGTTGCCATTGGAAGTGTTGAATACCCAAGTAATGAGGTTTAGAGGGGTGGTAAAAGCTAGTGATCATTGCAGTGTCTTATGCAAGGAGGAATGAATAAACTTTTATGAGATGACGATATGAACGGAAGAGATGATCATCTCATGGAAATCGGTTAATGGATTTGGCAAGCGATTTTCTTTGGACCTGTTGCACGATATGCACAGATGCATCTTTCAGGCTTTGTATTTAGGGCGAATTTTGAGTGTATATGAAAATACCAAATTGAGATTTTAAGAGTAAGACATGATGAGATCAATATATTGATTGCTCCTCATTTCACAGAGTATTATGCTGTCCACGGGTCGTCCGAGTCAGTCATGGAATCCCGGAATAGGAATGTGATTTTGGAAACACTTACCAACGATTGGTTTAAGACCACTTCTATCTAGAAGTTCAGGTATAATGTCTTCATATGTAAGCCACCATCGCTACATTACATGAAATACATTGAACGTCTCCCCTTTCCCAGTGAATCTGTTTATCTCGTTCGACAATAGAGATATTGTAACAAATGGTATACTTATCAAAATTTCTCATTTCATTTCATCTCTTCTCAATTTATCTAATCTTACGAACATCTATCTTTACTCATTTCTTCAATTCCATTCTTCTTCCTAAAACCCGTTCAGAACTGATTCTTCGTTCTCATATCACAACGATATCATTCGTGTTTCCATTATCCAGTCCCAGCAATCGTCCACCTCGCTAACCAAAACTCCAATACCAAAACCAACCCATCTATCTATAAATGCCAACGGGAACGGACGAATGTCCTTTCTTTCTACATCCAACGTCTTTTGACCCCCCGTATTTTCAACTATCTATCTCTATCGCCCATCCCATCCCCCGATCTCCTGTTTCTCCTCTAAAGACCAATCAAACCCCTCTCTCGTCTGACTGTAAGCAAACTAGTACTAATCTTAAAGCTCATTCTCGCCTCAAAAACATAAATCTGTGGCCAACTATGCAACTTGAGTAGTTTCTCTTCACAATCGAGTACTTTTTCCCTCCGATACTCTATTAATTTACCATCGGAAACCTTCCCTTCCGAAACTGTATCTCCCGCTGGGGACAAATCTTTTTCGTGCCAGGAGCAACATGCTAATTCGTAGTAGGCGGAAGGAAGAGTCCAGTCATCTCTGAGAGCGCCACGTGCATGTCTGGCATACGTTAGTTATGGCCTTCAAAATAAACACAGATATGAAGAAGAGAAATACCTTTCAGAATCCACAATTTCCCCTGTCAAGATCTTTCTCGCTTCCTCATACCTCCCCATATTTCTCATCACACATCCACGTAGCAAAAGATGGATAGCCTTATCATCCTCATCCTCATTACATTTCTCCGGACACGTCATTCTACCCTCTTCGAGAAGATCTAAGCATTTCTGCAACTCCACATTTCCACTTTTCTTAACTCCATTCCAGAAGTATATCATTTCAACAAAAGGACTGGGTCCGATTGCATCTACAAGATCTACATTCCATGTTTTGGCTCTTTGTTCCCATTTACCCACTTTGCTTACTATGTAGATATCGAAAGGGAGTTGCTTAGCCATTACTTTTTGTTTGCCTGCTAGAGGTGGAGCTTTCAGAAGAAATTCGGTAGCTTTTTTCTTGTGGATCTTAGCTGCCGTAGGATCGCTGACTCGAGTATTGCGATAAAGTTCGACGTATGAAGCACCAGCCATGTAGTGGTATAACGTTGGACTCCAAGCACTCTGCTCGCTGCAGTTGATCCATGCCGTCGCCGACTTTTGATATTCGTGGAAGAACAAGGTAGTAAGAGCCATCTCAAATGTATTGATCATAGCAATTTGTTTCATCTTACTCTTAGAGTTCTCCTCCAGAATTTCAAGGGCACCTTTCAAATCTTGCTTATAAGATAACATGCGAGCTTCCTCTAGTTTCCACAACCTAGAATCAGGGTGTCGAGTTTTCATTTCAGCTAGAAGCGCCTGGCATTTCTTTTTTGGATATCCCGTAAGGTTTTCGTCAGCTCCTGCATCGGTGGGTAAAATATCACAGAATCCAACCAGTCCATTATAATATCCAAGTAAAGCAAGAGCAGCAATGGCACTATTAAAATTTTGGTATCTTGTCGCTTGCCATAGGAGTCTGGTTCCACGTTCTCGATCCCCTTTGAATCCGACAATGTACAATATTTTGTTGAAAATTGGATTTTCAATCATGGAGAAAACAAGAAGTAAAAGGCCGCAACACAATCGAACTCCAGAATGAATGAAAATATCTGTTCGGTTGGTGAACACTTTTTCAGCAAGCGCCGGGTCGATATCATAGGGGTTCGTAACCGAGGGAGGTGAAGGTGGTCTTGAGACGTCCGGAAATGAAGCATTGTTTTCGTCCATCTCCTCATCGAGGTCTCCTACAGAGAGATTTGCCGTTTGATGTGCAATATCATCCACTGTAACTGCTGGCAAAGTACTCCTTCGGCTCGGAGGTCTAGAAGTGAGTGAAGTCGTGCTCGAATTGGAACTCGCCATCTTCTCCAAGTATTTGTTTTCTATCTCCAGTATTCCGTCCAATGTAAGATATGCCTTTCTCAATTTGTAAAAGCCCTTGACTGCTTCTGTGATACTTCCGCTGAGAACGGCAGTGATCGCACTCGTCAATTGAGCCCTATCATAAATTGTATCAGCACCAATTCTCCACGTCCCATTGGAAATAATACTTACACAGAATAGCACAACAGATACTCTGTACCCTGTGGATATATGTTTGATTGGAAAGCCGTGGATTCCTTTTGAGCTTTCTTCATATCCTCCCAACTTTTATTCTCGGCTTCTAGTAAGATTACCGCAGCTTCCTTGAGTAAATCCTTCTCTACCCCCATCATCGCAGATAAGAATCCGGATATTCCTCTTCCTAAATGATGGTATGAAGAATCGTTTTTCTTCAATAATTTGTCTGCTTCATCGATGTCATCGTTCAACAATTTCAACATCGCAGCCTCGACATCCCTTAGATGCTGTTCCTCGTCTTCCCCAACCATTGTAGGTGCTGCCTTTACGGCGGATCTGAACCACCTGCTCATTTTGGCTGTTCTACTGTATGTGTTTGTGCGGGGGTGTATAATTTGCGGGTTTGTTTTCGTATGTGATGTGTGAAGGTCTCGCGACCTTAAGTGACTGTTATTCTGGCCAGGGGATCATGGGTTCTGTATCTGAAAAAAAGAGTTTTATAAAGTTCGTGGACATTCAATTCTGTCCAAGACAGTTTAACGTCCAAGATAAATCTCAAGAGGTGGTCAAACCGGAGGGCCTCGGATATGGTCAATCCTGTTGGTGAAACGACGTTGATGTATTGAAAGTTCGAAAACCTGGCGCTCGGAGAATGCGGGGCAGTGAATTGGGACAAGTATGGTGATGACGGTGATGTTAATACCTAGTTTCACATACACGTACAACGAGGTAATAAGACAATCAGAAGAAAGGTCAAGAAAGAAAAAGGAAAGAGATCCTTCTTATAATAGTCCAGATCAACCGAAATCTCAGTCACAATTTCACATCAAATTCAACGAAAAGAAAGGAGAAGATGAGAAAGAAGAATGTGAAGATTAAATCCGTAGCTTACTTTCGAAAGCTTCGCACTTCGTATTTATGACCATCAGAGAGAGAACTTGGGGGCAGCCGTCATCTATCCATTTTTGTTCAGGTTAAAGTACATCCGAGTACCTGGCTCCCTGGGTGGTCGAGGCTGTGTATGTAGTAATGTAATAATTGTTGGATCCATCCATTGGAAAAGCTCAGGCCTAGAAGAGGCGGCGGGCGGAACAGCAAAGCGGCAAGGGTCTTTTAGGTAGGTATGGAGCACTAACTGACTAAGCTTGATTGGTCCTTAGCTTATCTAATCTACCAGGCCAGGGATTTCTTGCGAGCTTGCCTTATGCGAATTCACTCTGCTGTACAGTGCAAGACTCCAAACCACCTTCGCATCGCAAATCCATACCCATACCATTCAACCTTCGCACCGAACGAATACGACACCACATTACTATATTTCCCATCCTCAGTCTACGAATTTAACCTCCCAAATCTAAACCACCCATCATGTCCGCAGCACCAACCTCTGGCGCCGCCCCAACAACAAAGGCCACCAGCGCCGATAAATCATCCGCCGATGCGTCGAAAGATCAAAAGCCCGTTACCACATTGGAGGAAGATGATGAGTTTGAGGACTTCCCAGTTGAGAGTAGGTTTATCTCTTAATCTATGTTTGGTATTGGCGGCGATTCGAAAGCGGTTCAAGTGATGATTACCAATAGAGTCAAGCACTGAAGTGAGCCGTGTAAAAAGCGGTTTCCTAATTGATGACCACAATTGCGTTATGGTGTCTGATGAATCTTGAAGTTCGAGGATTGGCAAATGGGCTATGGATGATGGAAGACACGGGAGGGAGAGAGTAGCTTTCCGAGCTTGCTCGCAGAGTACAGTGCTGCCGGAATACAGATTTGGAACTGCAGAGATATGCGTCTGCATCCTACAGCTCCTTCTGTATCTCAAATTCACTCTCCGTTTCCATACATCGAAGAAGGGCCAATATCATACAAGAACAAGATCTTGACATTTACACATTTAAAACTAACACGGTTACCCCTCTAGACTGGAGCCAAGAAGACACAGAAGTACCTGGCGACAACACACATTTGTGGGAAGAGAGCTGGGATGACGATGATACTTCGGAGGACTTCTCCGCGCAATTGAAGTATGTATTTCCATGTCATTTTCCATGCCACACCCTGATTCCCTCGTTCCATCTTGCACCTACCAGCTATGCCGCACTCGTTCACGCAGTTTGTTACTACACCTACAATGCCCAAATACTAAATATATTTCGTTTATAGGGAAGAATTGAAGAAAGTCGAAGCAAACAAGAAGAGATGAGCAGGAAATATTTTGTTCCATGGGTGATTCACATTCAATCGGGAGTTCAAGGGCATGACATCATTTCACATACAGCACATCACGGGTAGAAATTACTAGAAGATGATAGGCATACAATGGAGATGATCATGATTTGCATTTCTCTGTAATAATGTTTTTTTGTTATTCATTTCGTCATTCCAAATATCCCTTCGTGAATCGAACTATCATATACTGTCTCCGAATCCAACGAATTTTCCCATAATCATAGGTTGGACTTATTTGAACGGTCTGATATCCCATCAGAACCGAACCATTCTACAAACGTGACCTCCAAATTTACTTACTCGACAAAGCAGAAACACCTGGGAGATCCTTGCCCTCGAGCAATTCCAAAGAAGCTCCACCACCAGTCGAAACGTGGCTAAGCTTGCTCTCAACTCCATACTTAGCAGCTACAGTAGCGGTGTCACCACCACCAATAATAACAATCTTTCCATTCTGAGCAGCATCAACGGCAGCATCAAGAGTAGCCTTGGTACCCTTGGCAAAAGCTTCGAATTCGAAGACTCCTGGTGGACCGTTCCAGAGGATAGTCTTGGACTCATCAATAGCTTTCTTGTAGAGTTCGATACTCTTTTCTCCACAGTCAAGTCCCATCCATCCATCTGGGATACCCCCCTCATCAGTAGCAGTGCCAGTGTTGGCATCCTTAGCAAAGTTGTCGGCGGTAATGTAATCAACTGGGAGAACAAGCTCAACGTTGTTCTTCTTAGCCTTCTCAACGAGATCCTTAACGGTCTTGCTTCCAGCCTCATCGAAAAGAGAGTTACCAATCTTAACACCTTCCAATGTCTTCTTGAATGTGAATGCCATACCACCGCAAACAATGAGCTTGTTGACTTTGCCGAGGAGGTTGTCAATCAATTGGATCTTGTCGGAAACCTTAGCTCCTCCGAGAATGGCCAAAAATGGTCTTTGAGGGTTCTCCAAAGCCTTGGCGAAGTACTCGAGTTCCTTCTTCATGAGGAATCCAGATGCCTTTTGTGGAAGATCAACACCGACCATGGAGCTGTGAGCTCTGTGGGCAGTTCCGAAAGCATCGTCTTGAAGCCGTTGATTAGCCTACGCCCGTTTGAATGCCCGAAGTGAAGCTTGACATTAAAAGTCCAAAATCCGCGATAAATCCGGAAAAAAATGACTCACTGATGAAAATGTCTCCCAAAGCAGTCAAACCCTTTCTGAACTCCTCCACCTTCTCTTTATCAGCCTTAACCTTCTTTCCCTCTGCATCCTTTGAGCTTCCCTCCTCCTCAGCATGGAATCTCAAGTTCTCAAGTAACACAACTTGTCCTCCAGTTGCCTTGTTAACGATTTCTTCAACTTCCTTTCCTACACAATCTGGTGCCATCTTGACCTTCTTTCCACCCAAAAGCTTCTCGAGCTCTGGGACGACGGGCTTCAATGAATATTTAGCGTTGACCTTTCCATCAGGACGTCCCAAGTGAGACATGAGGATAACGGCTTTAGCACCATTGTCGATGGCATATTTGATAGTTGGGACTGCGCCTGCAATACGTTGGTTGTTGGTAATGTTCTTGTCAGAGTCGAGAGGGACGTTGAAATCGACCTAGTGGGTAGGCAGTTGATTAGCTAGTTGACTTATTTTAGATGCCATTTTAGTATGTAGAACGCGGCTTTCTAATCTTCCAGTAATTCTTGAACATAAAAAGTATGACTTGTGCCCAATACAATGTAACATAGGATTATATGACGGAGATTCAACAACTGGTAAGAAGAATTGTATACATACTCGGATCAACACTCTCTTGTCCTTGACGTCAACGTCGGTGATGGAAAGCTTGTTTGAAAGAGACATCTTCTTGTAGTAGTAGATTTAAGGTATTGAGTGATAGTTAGAAAAAGAAGATCCGGAATGAGCTTCTTATAGTTTTGATTGCAAAGGTGGTATTGATTTGGAAATTGGTTGAGAAGAAACAAAAGCTTAAAACAAAAGGGACGTGAGTTGAGATTTGATGGAATGCCCCTCTATCATGGTGGGGTGGTTTTCTTGGATCCTCCCCTCGGCAGCTTGTCGGGAGTATCCGTGACCTTTTGATATCAGATTCCAAGGAATCTAAGCCATCACTTCATTGCCTATTGATTGTACTTGAACGTGAAATCAAGGGTGTGAAGCTTTCTGAGACGCGGACATATGCTTGGATGTTTGAATGATGAGGCATTTGCAATTTCTATGCAGCTGCCGTCTCTATATACCTACCCATGTCGTCAAACTTGTTTGGGTGGACAAGTGGAATATCACAAAGAGCAAATGCCAACCAATAGTTCCAGATTTCAGACAAAGTTATTATTGCTAATAAGTTTGTACTCAAGTAGAATCAATACGATATGTATATCTGTGGTCTATAAAGAAATCGTGATATTCGCCTCCAAAAATCCAGGCGCCAAACACCATTTGAATGTCCCAACCAGATATGAAAATGAAAATCGTAGATATATTGTCCAGTGTGACCTATCCAGACCAAAATCCATAGACCTAGAACTCCATCCCTTGCCAATGCCGCTGATTCCGAGTTGTCCGTCGTGCCTTCCTTTTCGCATACTCGGGTCTAGAGTTACAATAATCTGATGTTTGGTGATACCGGGGCTGATCGAACTTCCAAAGCATCTTCAGCTGCATTCGATAAGGAGAGATAAGCTGTCCATGCAATACCAACAGTCGAAACGAATGGCTATTAAAATCGTTAACATTAAGTACTAGGAGGAAAGATTTTGCTTGGAGAAAGAACCTACCAATTGGAATTGAATTGGCATAAGACGGAAGTTAATGATTTGTACCAAAGGCCAAACCATAAAGTTAGCCTTTAGTGTTGGAAGATACATATCTCTTAGCTTTTGAGCAACCGCTCTCTTGCCGCCACCTTCTGCAACGGTCATAACGACAAAGAAATTGGCGATGCCTGCGAAAAGTTAGTTATTAAGCTTTTAATAATATCGATGAACTTTTCATACCGACTGGTGCGAAGACTAATTGATCCATCGCAACCATCTTCATTGCTGGACCAAAAGCACTCGATTTTGTGATCGGAAATGCTTTTGATAGGAACTGGAACCATTTAAACTGTATAGGCGCCATTGCGAATCCATACGCCATAAATCGAGTCAAGCGCTCGAAATCAAAAGGTGGTGGCAGAATCTTGGAATCAGGAATAAGATCACGATCGTTGAACGGATTTTTCCTGTCAAGTTCGTGAATTTCTATCGCCAATGAATCATCCTTCCTTAAGCCTCCTTGTTTTCGCACAGCGGATTGTCTGATTGCTGTTATAGATTGTGCCACTGTATCAGCTATGCCACCCAGTACGGCGTTTGTCACCATCATGGTGAGTACTGGACGGGCAGCATAATAACTATTGAATTTTGCGGTAAGTCTCCCGACCATTATAAGTTCGATGAAGAAGATAATTGTGTGAATGAGAGGCTGTGATTGCAAATTTGTGTTAGCATCTGAAAGCTGGAAATTGGTTCGGGCCTAAAATCACTAGGCAATCCAGCCCAGAAGTAGAGACGGGATCAAATGGAAGGTGCGCGAAACTCACCACTCTGCCGTAAATGTATTTGCTGTTTGCTGTCCGCATAAAGCGCCGCCGTTGGATCTCGAACGGTAGAGGCATGGTTGCGGGAGGGCGGCGAGTATGTAACAGAAATAAATGGGTTGTGAATTGGACGGTGGGTTCCTTGGGAATTATGACGACAGAGACAAAGACAAGATCGATGATCTTTTAGTTTCCGATAGGACTACTCGTACCACGAATTATATGCCTTGATATTGTTCGCTTTCGTATGATATTCTCCAACCAAACAAATATAATAAATGATTTAGAAAACAAATAGATGACTTTGAAATGCGACAATATGGAATAAGAACACTTGAAAATCGATTATGGAGGATGACTGAGGTGAAAGAGGGGGAACGAATTGTTGCCTTTCCCCGAAACCATTGAGCCACTCCTTCATCGGCAATAATGTTAGTTTCAGTTACGAAATCATTCGCTAGGTACCTAGTACCTAGCATTCAATAAATTCATGCGTTGATCTTTTTCAAGACTTGATGTCAAATAGATTGCAATGGGTACAGATTCACTTAACGCGTAACTTGAAGAATATGCATTATTGCATTATTCCCTTCGCCTTCGAATTCATACCTATGCTTTATGACAGGCTGGAAAGCGTTCGACAGTTTCTGTTACCTAGGTATGGTGGGTAGGTATCCAAGATTACTAGTTGTATAATAGAAATCTTCGAGAACGATGGATTGTAATCTTACGTAGAAATCATCGCAACCCAACATTTTTCGTTTAGGTAAGGTCGGTCCCCGCACTTTGTCGCGCGGAGTAGATTAAAATGCGGTGTTTTCCTCGCGAAGATTGTTCAGGGCTTTGAGTTTTCTAATGATATTTTGGGCATCGAGGATTTACAATAAGAATCTCTCCTTCCTATATTTTCGGGTAGATGCTATGAATCTTGCCTTGAGCTACATCGGTGAAGCTTTCCAGACGCTCTAGTGAGCTGGACCTCTGAGCGGAGGTAGCTTTGGGATGTTCGTTCCAGTCAGTACTACGAAGAGCACGTCCTGAATTATTGAAGTCTTTTATTGTAAGAACTCACGCATAGGTTGGAAAATCGGATGCTAATAACGGTATCTGTTATATCAACCTAATAGCGTTCTCAATCTTATATTCCATTTCCTATTATCGTCCAACCATGAGCAACCTTAGCCAGTATTATGCGCAAACTCAGCAAATCGTCTCCAAAGCAAATTCAACCTGTTTCAACCCAGTCTATATTTGCCACCTAACGTCTCAAACGTCACAGACATTCTTAAAAAATCAGGAGTGCCACCCCTTCACCGCGTTCTAACACTTAAATTGCGCGTAACAATCATAAGTACCATCTCCCTCAATTGCACACCACCAACCCGGATTTCCACCATCCGTACCACCAACTCCATAATGACCGCCTGCATAATCGAAACTTGGAGATGCTGTAGGACTATTTCCTGTCATCACTACTCCATAAGGCAATTGCGAAGCCAAAAAGAATGTCTTATAC